TAAGTGAATGTATTTTGTGTTGTACTGTTCTTGTGTGTGTTTATTGTTTCAATTTGTCTCGTTGTCGTTACTGTCTTTATGTGTACTTGTTGTTATAATTCTTCTGTCTGTTGCTGTTGTTTTGCTAGTGTAATTTATTATTACTATTCTATTTATTGTAAAATATACGTAATATTACAACAACAATGTTATATATTTTTGCTATTGTATTATAAACTATTTTTTGACGTTATTTTCATTATCTAACACAATAGCAATATAAAAATGAAAGTATTATTATTAAATTTAAAGATATTGGTTGAAAATCAAAACAGATTGATAATTAGAAAGCATTAGGAATGAACGATTTGGACAAATCTTTAATCCTCTTTAATGAAGGTAGATGATGAATTAGATCAAATTATCCTCTAGTTAATATATATAAATATAGAAAACAGTAATTATGATTAAATTCACGTAAATACAATTTTTATAACATAATTTACTGTAAAGCTCCATAAAATAGGGGAGAAAAGTAATGAAAACTTTTTGGTTATTGCACTTCAACCAGACATTTATTGAGAAAAATATAAAGAAAACGGTTAAAAACAATTTAAAGGAGTAAAAAACACACAAAAAATTATATTTTTGAAAAATACGAAGTTGAATTTTCCAATATCGAAAAAAGCATCGAGCCATTCTCTGAGAATCGGTTTGTGGATCAGTTTGTCTCCCAATCGTCTGATAAATTGGATAACAGTTGATTGCCAATCGAAAAAGGAAGCCAATTATTGTTACACAAAGCCGTCCCTTCTGTTGATCTTTGTACAGCTTTTAAACATACAACCCCCTTTATCAAAATTTATTTGTCCTACGTTTAACCCGAGTGTCGCCTATGACGTTTCTGTTTGTATTTTACGAACAGACGTTCGGACGTTTCGCATATTTTGCATTTTTTAATTTAAGTTTTTTTCAAGTTTTTACGTGGTTGTAAAAATTTGATACGAAGTTTTTACATTATCAGGTATTGTCTTCGCTGTTTTTCTACAAGAACGTCACACAAAAAAGAATTTTGGAGTTAATTTTTTGAAGTTTTGTATAGTCGACCCCCCTATAACACTGATGATTATTCCGTTTTATATGAATTCCATGTTGTACGAGTCACTTAGATTTTACAAATTCGTGAGCCGTTCATAGCCCGGTACACGTATTTGTAAAATCTAAGTGACTCATACAACATGGAATTCATATAAAACGGAATAATCAACAGTCTTATAGGGGGTGTCGACTGTAATTGTTTCAAAATTGGTTTAAGGTCATGTATAACATTTAGTTAATTGTTATTAATGAGGTCATTGTAAATATTTATATTCATGTTAAATAAATGCTCAATAGAAAGTTTATAGGGATGTCGATTAGATTGTAATTATATTAATAATAATAAACTTCGTAATGTCAAAAATCATTTCAAAATAAGAATTTTCGTCTGTCTAATAAGATTACGATTTTAGCATTTAGTACTGTTACGTTTTTCAAAATAGGTGATTTGGCTTTGGTGTGGTCATTTGGCCATACCAAAGTCAAATCACTACGGGCAACACTTATTAAAGTATGAGGGTTTACATTATAAAAGAGTAAGGTTACTTGGTCTGCTGCTTACATATGTTTGAAAATGGCCTTCATATAAATCACGCTGAAGCACACAGAAAAAATGCTTTATAATTGTGTCTTACATACATTAATAAATAGCAACAACTTCCTAATATATAAATCATTAAACAAGGCGAAATGATAAAGGCTGCCGGATGTAGCATTGGGAATCCGGGTTCAATTTCTAGTAAATTTGCTAATTTTTATGAGCTGTGGTCTTATCCTTTACCACCCAGTCTATGATGGGTTTCAATAATCATGTATTGTTTGATCACGTTAGTTTTTCTATAACAGAAACCACTAAAATTTAACAGCATTCATGCCCAAACATTCGAACTTCCTTGTAAAATTTCAAAAATTTTCGAGGAAAAAGCGCAGGAGTTAAGCTTCAAAGAGTGAATGAAATTGTTCCAGAAACACAAAAACACAAACAAACACCCACACAAAATAGTCCCCAAATTAATTTGAAACTAAATAATTTCCCCTCTTTTTTCTCGAAAATTTCTGAAATTTTGCAGGGAAGTTTGCGTGTTAAGGGGATCGATGATGATAAATTTTGGTGGTTAATGTTGGTGGTGGTGGGAGATAAGGGAATCACGTGTTGTATTCGGGGTGGGCTCGGAGTTAATGGGGATTTTGCACGTGATTAATTAACATTAGCATTTGCAAGTTTATAAAAACTTGCAAATGCTAATGTAAAAAATCTCATCTATAATCAAAATTAAGTGTTTTGCTATTTTATAATAATTAAAATATATAAAGTTTTTATAATAAAATCTCATAACCGTTGGCGCCACATTCAATTTTAGTTATTTATTTTCATTAATTAATTAATTAATAATACAAATGTTACTTTTAATATAAAATCTCATAATAGCCGGGAAAGTTTCGCAACTCGTTGTTAGATTTTTTTAAAATTCAACTATAACATATTTGTGATTCTTTTAACACAACGTAAACAATTTAATTATAAAAATTCCCAATTACAATAGAGCCTCGATTATCCGACTCAATTGGAGACTGGGGTTGGTCGGATAATTGAAAAGTCGGATAACCGAAAAGTATGAAAAAATCCATTATTAGTGTAGTAAATTATTATATCCCATGTAATTAGTGTATTAGTATATCGCTATTAACCTATTTCGCGTTGAATTTTAATCGATGCTAAGCCTAACAAAAATTTTTTAAAATAATAATCGTCGCTATTGTATCGTTAAAAATGAGAATTTAAGCCTCGTTTAAATACTGGCTCCCTATCCTGGTTGAATGAGTGTTGCCAGCTAAAATAATATTAAAGTAGCCAAGACATAGCCAAATATTGTAGCGCCACATCACTAGCGGACATTTGAAATTTGCCGACTAGGATGGTCGGTTAACCGAGGTATCGGTTAATCGGGGGTCGGATAATCGACGCTCTACTGTACCTCATAATTATTTGGAGAAAAATGAAAAACGAAAATACCCGTCTACTGTTGTCAATTATAAGGTTGGGTTATCAACCACACACGCAAGGATATGTTGGGCCCGTCCCTCACCATCTGGTAGTTCCATTGTGGGCCTGGCCCAACCCATAATGGGCTTGCAAAAAGAGGTCCTCTTAGTGCCCAAGGGGCAGAAAGAGTTAAAAAGAAACCACACGCGCAAAACGATTTTAAATGTCGAATTTATTAAATTCGGATGTTTGTAAATAATTTCTTTGAAGCCCAACAAATCGAAATTTAAATAATATTTTAAAACATTATTTTATTCTTGAAATTATATTTCGTTCAATTTGATAAAAGTCGACAAACCGGATATTCTTATCAACGGAAATAACTAACAGGACGTTAATTTAACGGCATAATTATATGTTGTAACAAAGAGATAAAATATAATATAAAGGAGAAAGAGCGAAAAAAGAAGAAAACACGTGGACATAGTGTTTTCTCCAATAGGAAATCGAA